ATATATTTTTTATATATATATATTTTTATATTTTACAAGCCCAAGTCAGTTAAATTTCCATGTCCTAAGCATACAAAATGATACGTTCTTAAGTGTTGGACGAAATTGCTCATCTGGCCCTTTTAACACCGCCTCCCTAAATGAGTTAAAAACCTACTTCTTTGGAGGCATATGTTCCTTTCCAGAAAAAGAAATATTATGCCATACGATTTAATTTTTCCCACAGCTCTTCAAATTTTGAGAAGCTGAAAGAAGCAGATAACATGGGACTGAATGTTGCCAACTCCAGCGATTGAGGGGAAATATCAAAAGCTTACTGTTTTCTTCTTCAGCTTCTTGTGGTAACACTTTAAAATCCAAGAACCAAGTTTCAATCCAGGCAAGTATGAAGGATATGATGGGCAGCACGTAGCCAAAAGCACCCTGTGAGAACAGCTTGAAGGAAACAAAACCACACAATGTTTCAGAAATTACCCTGAAGAACCTTGCTTTCAAGAAAACAAAGTAAAACAAAGATTTGATTAGAATATATACCTGTGAAATAATTACTTTTGCTAATAAAAAGGCACTGGTCACTGCTGTTGTAAACTGAAAGAGACAGGGTAAAAACAGTTAAGACTATTAATTGGATTTACTTCCTCATTTCTGCCATTATCTATCAGTTGCAACTTTAAATATTTACAAACAGCAAGATCATAGATTAATAAAACATATCAAGTACAATACAATTAAAGTGCTACTAAAATAACCTCCTTAATATAGATAACTTTTAATACAGACATCTCCAAATGTTGATTTCCACACAGCAGACAGGCAGTTTAGATGCTACACAGATGCTGAGTTATATCAATTGTGATCTTACTGTATAACGAAGATGCAATATTTTATTTACCAAGTACCTTTAAAAAAAAAATAAAATCTATGTATTTGGAAAAAAGCAAACAATTGCTCCAAATGCTTTTCACTACCATCCAAATCAAAAGATCCATTTCAAATAATAAAATATCTTGCATGAGTAAATTTGAATTAATATTTTAATTCACATACTGATATTGTGAAAAATGAATCACTTTGAAGACTTGATATTCCCTGACGTTTAAATGACGGCAGGCTGCATAAAATGTCTCAAACCACCCAAAAAAAGCAGTGGGCAAGTACTGTTCACTTAAGCAAGACTTCTAACTATTAAGTGCATTTGGGTCCAGCCATTCTTTAACTAAGAGCAGAAGCTAACTAGCTTTTGGTAAGCACATGTACGATTTTAAGATTAACAGCTTCTGCAAAACGTTCAGGGAAGTTGTCTATATCTATTGCACCACCTCACAACCAACTGCATCAAGTTGGAGGATGTCATTGGAAGAAATACTCTAAAGCTACACAACTAAGAGTAAGGGATTTTGAGAGCTGTGCGCTTAAAAATAAACACAATCAGAGCAGCACTTACTCTTATGCATGTGTTTGTGTCATGCTAATAACAATTTTTAAAAAATCATGACATGTTATCACAGACTACTAAACCAACTGCATGCATGAAGTTACACATGAACATATTCTACATGCACCTACCACAGTATAAGGGAAAAAAATAAAATCTAAAATTTACAATGTACTAAGCCAGCAACGTGCCTACTGTTTTACAATCTAGAGTGGAATTAACTGGTGGAAGTATGAATTTATAATCAAGTTTTACATTCTCTCTCATGCACACGGTACAGCTGCTCCAATCCACTGACAAAAGTATCATTTCCTACAATTCTCAAGAAGCACCTTTCTAAGAAGGGATGTATATTCAACATTTTCTATTGGAGCATGAAGCAATACTAGGTGCCAGACATTGAACATCAGCACCTAAAACCCTAAATCTAAATAAGAATGTGGGAGATAATGGACAGCTGGACCTCTGGCACAATAATGGCAATTTTTATTTTTTTTTGAACTCCAGTTCACAATTTAATCTCCAGATAAATTTCAAACATGTTAATTAACAAGTCAGACGTAACAAGTGGTTACAACTAGCCAATGACACTGTACTCAAGATAAGTCTTCAGTGTGTATTAACATCAGTAATAAGGACCCCACCCACTCTGCTATTAAATTCTTGTCTTTAAGCTGAAAATCTTCCAGAAGTTTTTAATCTGTTACTGTACACCAAATTTTTATATACAGCATCAAGATGATTCTTAACAAACAAGCGTTAAGAGGCATCTAAAAATTTGTCTTTTTGACCCATTCTAGTTAAAACTCCGTTATGCTTGGCTACTACTCACAGCTATTGCCCACCAATGGCGCAGTCTGCACATTGCATATGCAAGTATTAACACCTTAAATCGAAAGACTGCCAGTAGCTATAGAGAAAGGAAAAAAATATTTGTTGGTTAATTCAGAACACAGAGATCACAAGATTCTCAGCTCACTGAAAATACTAACTGCTTACAAAACAAAACAGGAAAATCTAAGTTCTGTTATTGAAAACAAATTTGAATGTGGATCTGCTTATAAAACAGACATAGAACATAATTTCCCATTTGTAAAGCAAATGGCATTACTCACATGCCTACATAGGCTCAAATACACAAGCATGTGTAATTCCACAAATCTAACTAAGAAACATGAAAAAGCTACACAAAATATGTAATGATCATTTGACCTAACTGGAATCTAAACAGTTAAATCTATACACAGTTAATCCAACAAATACCTTGAGCATCACTGTGCATCTCACTAATCTTAGTGATGCGCTACTGCACAAGAATATCATTGCAAACTGTAAAGAATTCACAAATGCAATCGGAAAATTGGAATAATTTCTTAAAACAATTTTCTACTTACTAATTTTTTAGTATAAACTGAAATATCAATGTTGCAACAATCAATTTTTCTTTATGGAGATGCCTGCAGAAGCAACTAGTTCCAAATATTTTGCAGTAAAGAAAGGTATGGTATTTCTAGGCCAGAAAATAAAATCAAGAACAGACAGACAAGATTTTTGAATCAGGGACCCTAATCCTCAATTTCCCTGCTTATGCTTTGATATTAGATTGCCTCCAACTTGTTTTTAAAATATGTGTTCAGAATCTAAAAAATGTGAAACAAACACTTAAAAATGAAGAGAAATCAAGGACAGACATGGCCAGAAATACAATGAACCCATTTAATCTTCTGTAAATACATGTTTCACTGATGTGTAGTACAAACAGAAGAAATTCTGTATAAGCCCACAAATTGTTTTGCAAAATTCAATGACCTAGTCCCTTCCCAGGGAATAAAAGTCAATTATTTTACACTACATGTTTTTAATCCTTGGTTCAACTACAGGGAAAAATAATTTCCAGAGCATCAACATCTACAGGTAACATTTTTTGCTTTCTGCAGTAAGGTGAACCTGCCAGCAAAATAATGATAAGAGAGAAAGGAAGTAGTAGCATAGTTTGCTAGCTTATAAAAATTTCTTATCCAGTCGCTCATTCCATCTGACACAGCAAATGGTCCAATGCAGAAGCAACGTCAGATTTTTACACCAGATTTAAAGAGAGATTCTGGACATAGTTATGTTAAAAAACCTTGAGTTAAAACATAGAAATCTGAAAAAACCTGACCTATACAGGCCAACTCGAGAACAAGTCTCTCCTCACTGCAACCAACTTTTTCTGTGGGAGGACAAAAACGTCAGTTTAAACAAGATGATTTCACAGCTGGAGGACTATTGGTCTTGTCCTCTTAATGAATTATCTTTATGTTACATCATTCCCACATTCTTGACTGAGCTTTTAATCTGCTTTTCCAGCCCTCCCAAAGCAGAAAAATGCAATTTAAGTGTGCCTAAGCTTCTCTAGCCACAGTCTCCATAAGCGCCTGTGGTCAAAGCAGGACTGAGCAGCCCGTAGATGGGTGAAATCTGGCACAAGTCCTTCTAGTTTAAATTACCAAGAAAAGATCAACCCTTTCACAGGACACTAACTAGGAAACATCTGTGAAAAGAGAAACGTGGGAAAGCCTTTTGCAGCCTTTTTCATCTTTTTTTTTTTTTTTTAAAAGAACACTTACAAATATATCAAAATATGAAGAAGAGTAGTCATAATGTAGAACTTCTTTCTCTAAGGTAGTCTCAATGCCTCCTTTTACCTACAAAGAAACAACACCACACAGCTTTAGAACAGAAGCTACTTAAGTAAGAATACACACAACTCTGAAGGGTGAAATTAATAGTTCCCCACTGATGTACAAAAAGATCCTTAAACTAAGTACAGACGACATATATGCTAAGAATGTCAATTTCAAGATCAGCGTCCTCATTTGTTTTTCATGATTATATACAATTTTCAAAGTCAAAACATTTAGGATTATCACCTGGCCTATGCAAGCTACATTTTAGACTTTCTCAGAATAAAAGCAAAGAAGTTGTTGAGGGAAGACAACATGATTAAATGTCAGATCAATAACCAAAGTTATTTATCTTGTAAAGGAATGCTGGCAAAACATGTTCACTTAAGATCTTTTTGTCTAGAAAAGGCTTTCCTCCCATTTTTCCAGTGTGTCCTTTCTTAAATGCATACTTTAGACTATACCTTAAAACCCAGCTCAAGAACTAGGATGCTAACTATTAAGTAATAACAAATCAGCTATCTTATTGCTTTCTGGAAATTTCAGAACTGCCTTGTTTTCCAAATAACAAATGCTGGAGTTAAAAGGTGGCAACTGTGGGAGTGTACGTAGTTCAAATGTACCCTGCCACACACAGTGTGTAGCACACTAAGTTTGTCTCAAAGAAAATACATCACAGCAAAAGAAAGGTTTTGGCTACTGGAAGTCTTCGCAGGGGCTAACGCCTCAGAGACATATCACTGACTTTGAATTACTCAGATGGCAAACTCTTGAATCCTGTTAAAATTCACACTTCTTGTGAAAATTCAAAGATGTACAGTAACACTATTGTTTACTTGCTGCCCGAAAAGTTCACTGGATTTCCAATGGTTTCTTCAGCATAGTTCACAGAACACAGGAACATCAAAAGGTTTAGTGATAAAAAGATTCTAAACCATGTATCCTAAAGACTAGAAGTAGATACTATGTTCATGAAAGCTTAAAAGTAAGAAGCTGCTTTAATTTAAATAGGTACAAATAGCATATAATTTAGGATAGAGAAGAGCAACTTATTAACCACTCCTGAAGTGAATAAATAAAGTCTGAGGGTACTGAAAAGACAACTCACATTTAATTCTATTATCCACAGCAAGGTTATAAATAAGAGATCAAATGTAACAAACAAACAGAAAGTTCTTCTGACATCCGATATGCCTTTCTTCTCTCTGCCTTCATAGGACTCAATTCTTGCCATCAGCTGCACTGGGTTGATGGAGGGGACATCCCGCAGGGAAGGACAGGATTCCACACTGCTGCTGTGAGCATTTTCTGCATCACCTGGCACCCGATTCATCCTGGGTTTGCTCAGAGTGGTCTTCTTCCAGTTTCACCATCACTAGAAGGCTGATCCATATAGGAAGAATTTCTAAACAAACAAATAAAACCAACACACATCAGTCACCAAAAAAATTCCTGAAAAATACCATCACATCCAGAGCTGACACAGCCAAAAGATTACAAGTCTATTAAGAACCCTGAATACTGTAGTAATGGTTCTATAAAGCAAGTACACTGCTATTTGCTCTCTGTAGATAAATTCAGCTGCTATGACAACTTACGTTGCCAGACAGGGTCTCTCTGAAAAAACTGTATGCAACTGAGTGGTTAAAGGTAATGCAATTACCCTAAGTCTCTTCTGACTATGAGGCTTTTAGAAAAAAAAAAAATTCAGGTTAAATTTCTTATAAAACTGGAGCAGTTTGATGTATGATTCACTACTTTATGCCAGGAGAACCTTTTTCCAATTAAAGCTTCTAGAAAGAGTTGACTAAGAAGGTCACAAAAGTTTCAAGGAAATGCACAGAAAATTTATTTTTATGCAAAATACTCAGAAGATTAAGCTATACATCCTGCAATACAAATCACATCAGCCAGGCTTCTGTAACACTAGAGGAATAACTTTCTGAAATTCAAAACCAAAACTTTGTCTTTTCCTCTGTGGTCTGTCTTTCAGTAAATCGCAAAGCAGAAAGAGAAACCCTTTCTACTCTTATCTTCCAGAAGTGTTTCAGTTCCCAAGTCTGCAAGAACACAGTCAGCGAAAGCACAAGAGGAAAAGCAGACAGGGGATTTCTAACACACCACGAGGCAAACACAAGGCTACAAGGACACAGGGGAAAAGCAAAGGTGTGGCACGGAGTTGTCAGAGCGCACACATCACAGCCGAGGCCAGCCAGGGATGGCCAATGTCACAGGGGTGGGTCAAGTCACATGTACAGCCTTCGGGTAGTTCAAAGTCCACTTTTCTCGGGCTATGGCATGAAAATGGTAACAGACCCTTTTAAGATGTCTTTTGCTGGGCCTAATCGCCTTTAAAGAGGTGTTAGCAGAGCACATGTGACCAGAGAAATTCAGAAGCAGGAATATGGGATTATTTTTATTCCAGTTAATGATGAAACTAATAAAGACAGAAATAGTTGCACTGCACTTGTCCTGTTTCAAGATCTTTTCAAGCAGATTTGCAACTGGGTTGGTTCCTGCCATGGCCCGAGAGAGGAGGAACAGCATGAAGCTTGTCCTTGGGAGACAAGTGACAGAGGAGGTGCCAGGGATGCCCAGCAGTGGTACCCAGTGCATGGCCACTAAGGGCAGGGACAGCCCCAAAGGCCTTCCTGCAAAAGATGCCAGGCAGAGGCAGTGGAGGGAGTGGGGGGGAGGTTGATCTTTAAGGTCCTTTCCAACCTAAACCATTCTGTGATTCTATTATTCTAAAGTTAACTCTGTCTCAGCTTAACCCAGGTCAAGGCATCTCCTGGGACACATGACCAGCCTGTGGGACGAGGAAGCAGGT